TCTGCCTTCGTCATCAGGTCGGTGACTGCACGAAGCAACAACCAAGAAGACAGTGACCTTCATACGTGAAATCTCACCTTTTAACAAAGTTACGTTTTATATTTATATACGAGTAACGACACGAGAAAAGTAATAAATTTGTGAATCGTCCATTAATCATACATGAATAGTACGTGCTTCATCTGATACATGACGATCGACATTTGCGTCTGACGTCACAGGCATGTGTCCATGTCGCATTGAAGCGAAACAGTGTCCGGTGTGGAGGATGGATTGCACATTGCTCTGGAAAGCGAGTTCCATTGCCAACAACATTAATGTCACTTTCTATGTGTCCACAACAGACGCTCTCATTTAGTGTTTTTTGTGGCCCAGTGAAACAGACACAGGAAGGCGAGGCCTTAACATTTAACTGGCCGCAGACACTGAGTGTCCATTGTAAAACGCAACTCTGCTGCGTAATGCATGACATGTTCTGCTGAGACAGTGTCTTAAGTGATTTGGACAGGGCTGCAGTTAACTCAGCCTCGCGTCTTCCAGCGTGTCGCCGGTAAGGGCCGAAGTTGGGTTTGCGATTCAAGACGCTGTCAGTCGCACGGGACGTCATTAGGCGGTTATCCGTTGTTTTGTCTGGAAACACATTTTGGAAAACATGTTGGCATAGTACAGATGACTTGTTACTAAAGTAGTGCACTGCAACGAAAATATGCTTTGCTCGGACGTAGTGATCTTGCTTGATCTCAATCAGCCACTGAACTCTTTTGTGATACCCTGAACTATCAATGGCTGTTTGATTGTTTGTCAAAGTCAACAGTTCCCCAACCACAGAAGGTCGAAATTCTTGGTTACCTGTGGGGGTGGTCAGTTCGACGTCGTATATGGAGCATAAGGCGACTGAAGCTTTGGTTACATTTTAAAGTGAACTCTCTGTGTATGTCGGGTTCTTAAAGGTCATTTTGTGTTTTGTTACCTGGGAATATCACTGAAAAGTTTTCTTCCAGCGATATTTATTAATCGAATTTTGTAGTTTTATTACCTTTTTGTT